AGGAAGGGAAAAATGAAGGGGGGAAATCGGAGGGGGAGACGAACCATGAGAGACTGTGGACTCTGAGAAACAAACTGAGGGTTCTAGAGGGGAGGGGGTGGGGGATGGGTCAGCCTGGTGATGGGTAATTAAAGAGGGCACGTTCTGCATGGAGCACTGGGTGTTATACGCAAACAGTGAATCATGGAACACTACATCAAAAAAAATTAAAAAAAAAAAAAATACCGTATGGGAGTAACAAAACACCTGCAGGATGACAAGCTTGCAGCTTCTAGTACAGGGTCTCCCAACCTCAGTACTATCGACATTTTGAGCCAGATGAGTCTGTGTTGGGTGTTGGGAGAGGGGGCTGTCCTGTACATTGTAGGATGTGTAGCAGCATGCCTGGCTTCTACTCGCTAGATGCCAGTAACTCCCTCTCCCAGTTGTGACGAACAAAAATGCCTCTAGATATTGCCACATGTGGGGCAGGGGGCAGGCAATAAATGTTGCCAATTAAGAACCATGCTACAGTATAAAAGTAAGGCTACAGGAAGTAAAAACTGGCAAATTAAGAATACAAGAAATTGACACGAACTCAATCTACATAGCAAAGGATGATTATGCATGTCATTAACAAATTAAGAACTATATTTATTTATTACAGCAGTTAATTCTTTCCTGTTATCTGTTTAGAATATGCCACTGTGTGCATGGTATGTATGTGTCAGCATGAGGTTCATTTTAAATAAAGTGAAAATTCTCTGACAGCCATGATTTTCTACTAGTAAGTGATCTCTGGAACACTCTTCTTCTCACCAATGATTAATCAGATATTCTCTAACAGCTGTAGAGACAGGATGATAGCAAGAGTGCCTACTCTTAACAGAAGCACATTTCTCATGTTTTTGTTTTTTTTAACTCTCTGGAAAAATTCAAAAGTATGTTATTATTGCCATTTTCCAGACTCAGACATGGTCCCTTCTGGTGACGACAGAGCGGTACTATGATAACTACTATCTAGGTTTGCTAGTTAGAGATGAAGATGTTCTGTTCCTCAAGACTCCTGGGCTCAGTTTTACCTGCATGGAATCCAAAGGGTAAATCAGTGCCCTCTCTTAAAGGGAAAGCCTGAACTATTTTCTTGATCTCCTCTCTAAGTAAACAGGTTTTGTCCAAAACAAGGAACCAAAGAACTGACTGGGCTGTCTTGTTTATTTAAAGGGAAAACAACTGAAGCTCTGAATCATGTGATATTTAACTTTAAAAAAACAAAAAACCTTTTAACATGCTACTGTATATTCCATAAACAAAGAAAGCAAACTGACCAAGTAGAAGTGGATATGACAAGATAGTACCTCAGCCCGGGCCAAGTGGGAAAAAAGTGAAATTCAGAATAAAAACTTGGCTTAGTAAAATATAACCAGATAAATTCTTGGGCTGAAGATAGATTTACTTGGTGATCTCAATTTGGATGAAAGTACTTTATACAGTAGAATAAGATGGAATATGAAGAAATTTAAACAAAATTTAAATTTAAAAATTTAAAGAAACCACAAATTTCATTTGATGCTATGTGGTGGGGATGTAAGAATGGTGTCTTTTTAATCTAGGTCAAGATCCAGATGTTTGCATTCAAATTTAGCAATGGCACTTTATGAGAAATCTTAAAAGAATTTGTAATTTGTTTTCCTCCTTTTTGGGACAAATTCTGATATATTCAAGGCTAGCTGGCAATCATTTACACTGCCTCCTGAGTTCAAGAATGTGAGCTCAATGTGACTACAGAACCCCACTTGGGATGCCTTTTAGTCAGCAGAGGTCCGAAAGCCCTGGGGTTCCAGGTGGGCCAGCACAATGAGTCCTCTGATTTGCAGGAGACTGGGTAACACTGAGGGGAAAATAAAAATTGTCCAGTCTGAACCATCGGAATAAAGATGTAGTTTTGATAGGGCGCCTGGGTGGCTCAGTTGTTTAAGTGTCTGCCTTTGGCTCAGGTCATGATCTCAGGGTCCTGGGATCGAGTCCCGCATCGGGCTCCTTGCTTAGCAGGGAGCCTGCTTCTCCCTCTGCCTGCCACTCCCCCTGCTTGTACTCTCCCTCTCTATTTAAAGGGAAAACAACTGAAGCTCTGAATCATGTGATATTTAACTTTAAAAAAACAAAAAACCTTTTAACATGCTACTGTATAGTCCATAAACAAAGAAAGCAAACTGACCAAGTAGAAGTGGATATGACAAGATAGTACCTCAGCCCGGGCCAAGTAGGGATTCAAGTAATTTATTTTTTTGCAGCCCAGCGGCAGAGTCTCTTACTCAGGTTGCTAAAGGGAGAATGCTACAGCAGAACTGGCATCACTCCCTTCTCCAAAGCAACAAGGCATCTTGAAAGCTCAACTTCTTGGTGAAGTTTTATGGTTGGTGGCAGGACTTAGTTCATCCATGTGAAAAGACAGCTGAGTCGGGGATGAAAATTCTTCAGAGGAAAATCCCATCTCAACAGTCATACTGAAGAAATTTCAGCCAACACATAATCCAATTCCCTTTTGGGAGAAGTCCTTCCCAAAATTTTGTAGTGGGAAGAGAGGTAGGTACAGTTACCCAGCCCACATTCACTGCTTTCTTCCTTGTCTAGATCAGATGTGGTTTGAAGAGAAGCTCTCCCACATTCATCTTCTATGTCAGGAAAGATGAACAGAGGCAGACGCGGGGTCCTGTCCTTCACAGATTCATTTTGGTTCTGGCAGACCATGAGCCAGAAGCATCCTGTTCCCACTATGTGCACTCTGGGATCAGACAGAGCTGCTCTTCCAGGAGTCAGTGTCCATGCTCATGTCCGGCTTTCAGTTAATTCTCCTTGGTTTAGTAACTGTAAAAGATGAAAACCAAATCTGGAATAAAGGCTACTAATGAATAACAGGAAAAATAATTCGTACTAAGGAAAAGGTTTATGAGTGGGAGTGGGGAATGCACAGCTGAGGTGAGTCAAGGATACCTAGCTCCAAAGCAAGAGAACATGTAGACTGATAGATCTCTCATATCCTGGCCTTGGGATAGCATTTTGGCCAATTCACGATGCTGGCATGTTCACTATGGCAATAAAAGATCTTGAGTCCATAAGCCAAACTATTGTTTGTGTAGTCACGTACTCACTAGTCAGTGATGGAGGCATCCATAACTTACAGATACATCAGAAATGGTAGAACCAAAAATCTTACATCAGTCAGTGTTAGTCCAAAGTACAGGCAGAACGCTCAAGGAGAAGTAAGAGGAATGGGAAGCTATTCCCAATAAGTTCTATATGAGAGCTAGAAACCACCCATAAGGAATCCAGCAATTCGGGGCGCCTGGGTGGCTCAGTCGTTAAGCGTCTGCCTTCAGCTTAGGTCATGATCCCAGGGTCCTGGGATTGAGCCCTGCATCAGGCTCCCTGCTCGGTGGGAAACCTGCTTCTCCCTCCCCCACTCCCCCTGCTTGTCTTCCCTCTCTCGCTGTGTCTCTCTCTCTCAAATAAATTTAAAAAACAGAGAAAAAGGAACCCAGCAATTCCCAGGGCTTAGAAGGATACCTCTCCTAGGATGGAGACAAGCCTGAGACTTCAAGAGGGTGGCAGCGAAAACAGACTTTCTACTCTACACTCAAGGCTTTCTGTTGAAAGGCAGTTCTGTACAATAATTGATGAACTTGGGTTCCATTTTATTATGAGAATGAGATGGGAATAAAAAGTGAAAGGGAAAGCCTGAACTATTTTCTTGATCTCCTCTCTAAGTAAACAGGTTTTGTCCAAAACAAGGAACCAAAGAACTGACTGGGCTGTCTTGTT